TTGTTACTACTAGTAAGGCACCTGTTCCTAGTAGCGTGGCACTTGTTTTTACTGTGTCAGGAATTGTGCGGATTCCAAAAACATTTACGGTGTAATCGTAGGATATCGGTGTTAGACGCCACTTTAGTGGGCCCAAGGAGTCCGGGTATACTGCTACACGGTCTAACCGAGTCTAACCTACTTGTTTGGATCTATATATAGGGATGCAATTCAGCACAAAGGCCAAAGATGGGTGACATGGGAGACAATGAGAGATAAGTAAGACAGCTATGGGGAGTTCAAAATCCCGCGCGTCAGGTCAGGTTCGATGATGTCTTAGACAATTCAACTGGCAACGTGTGTTTTCGGGGACCTCAACCAGCCCGTAGTTGGAGGCCATTGCTATTAGGTTGGAGGCCATCCCTAGTAGGTTGGAGGCCACCGCTAGGTTGGAGGCCATCGCTAGTAGGTTGGAGGCCATCACTACTAGGTTGGAGGCCATTGCTACTAGGTTGGAGGCCATCTAGTAGGTTGCAGGCCATCGCTTCTAGGTTGGAGGCCATCGCTTCTAGGGTGGAGGCCATCGCTTCTAGGTTGGTTGGTGAATTGATCCCTGATCTTTGTAGTCAGTGAGGTTCTGCATCAGCAACACCTGGATGATGGAAGCAAAACCATCAGTGAAGCTTCGCCGGGGGCACCTCATCCGAAGTTGAAACGTGGAAATTCCGCTCTTTCGTCCTCGAAGGCTGGCCGATGCAATTTGATGTGGGTGAAGCTGGGCAGTTCCGTATGTCCAAGAGTCCAAGATGCACATACAACGAACAGTTTATGTTTGTGTTGTTTTGGCGTGTACTAGATCGGCAAGAGAGACAGACGGCAAGCATGTCTGGCTAGGTTTATGATTTGGAAGCTATTAGGTTGGAGGGCATTACTCCTAGTAACAAAAAGCTACTAGGCACAAAGGATTTGGAAGCAGGAGCAAGAAGCTACTAGGGGCTCCTGGAATCGCTACTAGGAGCAAGAAGCTACTAGGGGCTCCTGGCCTTACTACCAGGAACAAGGACGCTACGTTCGGGGCTCCTTGCTTTGTTTGTGATTGCCTTGCCGTAGGCATCATTCGGTTGCAGATCAGAAGATCTTTCAAAGGCTGAAGGATCGTCAGACCGTGAGGCAGGGTCTTCTGAGACCAGGGAATTTTGCACTGATGCATTGTGTCAAGGGTGGCTTTCTTTGATGTTCCACAACAAGGGGTGTATTCCTAATAGCAATGGCCTCCAACGGACAAGTTTCTATTTGTGGAATCTCGACGCAAGATTCATCTCTGAGTTACAGTATATAGTCTATGCCAGTGAAGTCGGGACTGTACATCATGGCGGCACACTCCACCAATGTTCATTCAAGCCATGATGTTGCAGAGAAAGCTCCGATCTCTGAATGAGGGAGTAGCAATGGGTGTGTGGCTATTGTCACTGATGGCTTCCAATCGCCTCATGACTTGGATACATTTAGCTGTGTTATGTTGGAGGCCTTGTTCAGTGCCAAGAAGGCTCTCAACGGAATGAGCCCTGGCAGCAAGTGTGTCGAAATTGCAGTTCGCGGCAAATTCTCTTCATCTTGCTTTTCCTCCAAAACCAAGGACTGGTCAGATCTACGACACCATCTATACACCCTCGCTCTATGCACGTTCGAGGGCACAAAAATCCAAAAATCCATTTGTTAGAGGCCTGCCGTGCGGTGCGAGCTACGGGGACGTGGAAAAGACAGCTTAGTGCTCGATCAGAGATGGCCTGAAGGTGAGGAACATGCCACCTAGTAGCGTCAATGTTCCTAGTAGCGATGCCAAGAGCCGCTAGTGGCTTCTTGTTCCTAGTAAGGCCAGGAGCTACGAACGTAGCGTTCGTAGCGAAAACCAGACTTCGGTGATGGATCGAAAAGACTTGTCGGTGCCATGTCGCCTTGTTGCCATGTCAAGTGCAGACTTTGGTCGAGCTAGTAACAAGTGCATCGCTACTAGTAACAAGTGCCTTACTAGTAGGAACAAGGTTCGCTAGTAGAAACAAGTGCCACGCTACTAGGAACATCATGTTGGATGCTTTTGGATGTTCTTGTGACGACTCGACGGAAGCAAGTCCAGGATCTCTAAATATCGTTGGGAGCCCAGCACGACTGCGGATGGTGGAACGAATTGTGAGGCTAAACGGGGACTTATTGCATTGCTCCTAGTAGCTTCTTGTTACTACTAGTAAGGCACTTGTTACTAGAAGCGATGCACTTGTTTCTACTAGCTTCTTGTTCCTGGGAGGTTCCTTATTCACCTGGGAAGACTTTGGTTGTGGTTTTGACTCGATCGTTTTTCAAGAACTGTGCCTCAAAAAGCTGATTGGAGATCCTGCCAAATTCTGGAGCCAATGTTATGGCTTGCGAAACATTGACGTACAGTCTTTTACACCAGAAGCTATTGGGCGAAACACTGCATTCCTGCGCATGAGTAACACAGACTTGCGATTCTTAGGATTCTGAACTGAGGCCCTCAGTGATTTGATTAAACCATGCTAAGCATGGCACGCTTTGTTAAAGTAAAAAAAGACACTCGGCTAACAAGGCTGGTCGGCTAACAACGCTCGTTTCGTCATAGAATTTCCAGGAAGACTTCGTTGTCTATCTGTACTTGGCAAAGGTCCCGATGCCTTAAGGTTGGCGACATGCTCTACAAATTTGAGACCCTTCGTGAACCTGAACGAACAGGGTGGCTTGCTGCCCGGAGCCCCATTTTAGGGACATGCAGATATTTTGACCAGCAGGGATGCGGCAAACATAGAGGCCTTTTGGTTAGAACCACTGGGAGTCTTGACAGTTGAAGACTTAGGGGGTGCAAGAACTTATATATAATTATATATACTTGCATTGGTGGGTTTCTGTTGCCCATGTTTGGTTGGCTATTGATGCAGCCACTATTTCTTTGAGCAGCGTTTTTGCGCCCTGACGTGGTTTTTGTTGCATTCAGAATCGAAGCCCTGAGTCGTAGCGGTTCAAACTGGTACAAAATGGATCTGTTTCGGGACTGGTTTGCCTTCTGCTCTGAGGGACTGGTTTTTAGCCGCTGGTTCCAGATGCTGTCTGTAACTGTGATCTTGGCCAAGCTGCCTTGTTTTCCCAGCAAGGGGAATGGGAACTTTCTCCTGCATCCGTGTTGTCAATGACCGATATCGCCAGACCCGCTCTTGCAACAGAGTTGCGTCAACGCTACCAATTTCTTGTAGAGCGTTCTTGCAGAGAATCAAACAGAAGAAGATGGCTTTCACATCTCTCCTGGTTTGTATCCGTACCCTTTGTGGCTTCGCTGTGCCTTTTGGCATGACCTTCCATTGCCAGGTCAACTCGGTGCTGCCGGCAGAGTTGACGACGGTGGTAGATACCAACGGTGATCCTCGAAGAGGGTATTTTTGGTGGCATAAACACCTCAGGACAGGTTTCCCAGTTGGATCCACCTTGAAATAAGAGACTTGGCCAGGTCAACTTCCGCCCTCGTGCTGTATTTATCCTTTCCATATATACCATTCCCTGTGTCCATATCTTATCTTCGTATGTTGCAAGAATTAGGTTTGAGCCACCAGTGCCAGAGACATTGACAGACCGGACATATACATGCACCAGTGCCCTAGACAGTAGAGATCCAAGCTTAAAGTATCATGCAGTTCATGAGCTGACATTGCTGACACATTCGCATTATATAAATGTTCCGCTTTACTTTCTGAGTGATCCTGAGTGATCCATTCATTGCTGTATTTGCACAAATCTGTCTCAAACTGGCGCCCAAGTCGGCCCAATCCATCATCTTTGTGGCAGGTTCATCTCACCCTTTCGACAAATCAACACTCCACAGAATAGCAGATCGCTCACCAGTCGTAGCTGAAACCAGTTCTTTGCACAAGAGGGCTACCCCGATATATCCCTGACAAGTGGAGAGATTTGATCACCAGTTTCACCATGAGACTTGATAGCTTACATGCCAGGTCACTATTGCTTTGAGTGCTGACTATGAGATTCAACACCTTGGACTCGAAGCAAACGAAGCTGCTTGGCACCACCATAACAGTTCAAACACAAACAGTTCGGCGCGAACCAGGCCGACGTTTTGGGGAGTTGAGAAAGCCCTGGTATACTCAAAGGTTGTGTCCGACTGTTTGTTGAAAGAAGTGTGGAGGAAAGCTATGCGGTCTCACAGGCGGTGTGAAGGGAACAATCAGGAATGGCTTCCACCCTTGTAGCGATGGCCTCCATCCTAGTAGCGATGGCCTCCAATCTAATAGCGATGGCCTCCACCCTAGTAGCGATGGCCTCCACCCTAGTAGCGATGGCCTCCAACCTAGTAGCGATGACCTCCACCCAGTGGCGATGGCTTTGGTTGCTTCCACAAAGTTCAAGCCAATTGACCTCAAGTAGACTTGCAGTAGTGGCTGAGTATCGGAGCTGTGCACAGGTTCAGCAAAACGTGGAATTGGTGCTTGCACTTTTCTATGTGCCTTGCCGGCACAGACGTGTTTTCTGTTTTCGCACTTGCCAGTGAAAAGAAGGTGATGATAAAGAGCCACTCAAGATGGTTGAGAAACATGGAACGAAGATAGTGTGCTGTACTAGTACACCGGCAGTTTAGCATTTCGGACAATGGGTGATTTTAAAGGCATGCGGCATGTCCCAAAACTGAAAGGCCTTGGGAGTGGGACAGACCGTGGGAAACCTCCTTTCTGCACACCCATGAGGATAGGAATGAAAGAACATCAACCCGTCATCAGGAGCATAGGACAGGGTGCAGAAAGCCGGAAGACCAGGCATCGAGATGCATCGAATATATCCATCGATCTGCGCAAACATCGAATCTATAGACTCCCTGAAACAATCATGGAGTGAATGGCACCTGTTTGGTCTTCGGAAAATGGTCATCCGAAATCGGGGCCATGCCACCGACTTCCATGAATTCCAGGGATGGTCGTTGTAGGCTCACCGCAACGCTTGCTTGGGGCGAGCATGGGCGAGCCGGCTCATACAGCTAGCTCAGCTTCGTTCTCACACTGCCGCCAGGTGGTCGAATTGATTCTAAAGCAGCTCGGCGAAACCACCGTGGCCATGAAGGGAATCCGTGGAAGACATCCTTTTAGTAGGGGGCAATCCTCTCTCAAGCATTAGGGGGTCTTCTTAACAAGGCCCCCTTTAATGGGACACTTTGTTATTCCTATATGTAACTTTCAATTCGATAGGCCAGGCCAGACCCAGCCAGATAAACAATAAACCGAATTGACGCCAAACATGTTCCATCACCACTTGGGGTGTCTAGTTTTGAACACCCGGATGTTGGACCTTCTTTTTCAGGAGTTTTGGGTCACATCCGGACCAAGTTCTCACACTTTGTGAAACATGCACCAGCACCAGTTTCGTGCAAGTTGGCCACCAACGACTAGCTGTTTTCTCCGAATAACTGCCGTGATATAATAAACACACAAACAAAATCGACCAGTGACCAGAACAACCAAACAAAAAGTCGTATCTAAAAAGTGCCAGCAAGTGGCCGATTGAGCCTGGCTTCGTCCTGAGGCTCATGGTGAACCGGTTCTACTTCTTCGTGGCTTGTCAGCGATGATAGGGGTTCCGTGGGCGGGAGAAACATGCAGAACCATGCGAGTTTCAGGTCACCTCAGGTTGCATATTTTTGAGGTGGGCTTGCAAGATGCTGTGAAAACCAGGTGGGCCAGTGGGACTGTTGTTTTTGCCCGTCGCAATGGAACAATTCGAAGCTACCCCTGTCTTGCAACAGTCGGGCTTGAACTAGGGCTGTGTCCAACCTGCTAGTGATGGCCTCCTGAATTGAGGTCAATGAGGATGCGCTTTGGAACTCCTTCGATTTTTGTTTGGTCTTGCTGCTTGGCCGCGATGACGGGTTCAGCGCGTGCAACCCTTGACCCATTGATCGAGTGCGAGCAGCTAGACCTGACACGTCCTGAAACCGTCACTTCAGGTTCTCGATCGTGGAGTATGCCGGCTTCTCAGGGATGGAGGGTCCACTTTCCAGTGGCAGTTCTTGCGCGCACACATGCACATCATGTATAAAGACCACAAATGTTTGTGTCCGAGTTTTTATTACAAGCATGCAAGAGAGCTCCTATTTCTGTTGGCTTCTGCAATTACAGCGACTGAGGCCGTGACCATTTACTTGGAAATGCACGAAGACAGCCACCTCCTTAGTGCTTTAATGACGCACTGAGCTGGCTGCGCCTCTCTTTGCATGTGTTGTGGGTGGCTGCGGCACTGCAGGTGCTGGTGGCGGCATGAATATGGGCTTCTTGCGGATGTTCCGGCTGTGCAACCTGATGCAAATGCAGTTGCCTTTGTTTGATCACTCTGTTTGCCCGATGTCCGATACAGTCCGAGGAGAATCACTTTTCGACGTTGGGGGGGTCACGACGTTTTAACATATCAATGTTTTCGTTGAAGCGGTTTTTTCCCTTGACTCGTCGACCCAAAACCTAACATTTTCCTCTCACAAGGAAAGACATGGGAAAACCGTTGGAAAACCATGGGAAAACCATGTTGGTTGGGGGTGATGGTGGTGGATCTCATCAGATGCCTGGATCCAAATTCATGGGCATCATTGAGCAGTCACCCATCAGAATGAGTTAAAGGACAGAATGAGATGAATCGTCACAGTCGTCACCTGCCTTTTCTTGGGGAAGATTCTTTGAGGGTGTCAAATGTACACATGTCTGAATCTCATGGCTCTGAGGCAAGATTGCCAAGGTCCTGCGGGTCTTCCGGACCCTTCGTTTCTTCACTGAGCTTCGGTTGATGATGGACTGCCTCTTGGTTGAAGTCAGGTTGACCTGATGTGCGCAAAACGCGTAGACGAGGTCAACCTTCCTGAAATACACGGAGATTTGTGAGTTGGGTGTTGCACAATCCAGTTGTCCTCCATGCCAGTTCTATTGGATTCTACTAGCCTCAGTCAGTAGCCACAGCGCTATGCCTTAGCTGTATGTCCCATGGCTGTTCCATCCTGAAATCTGACAATTCGTTCGTGTCTGCTACCAACTGCATTTTTTTGGGGGGGCCTGCGGTATCTCCTTGGGATTATTCTTCCCTTGTTTTCGTATCGGTAAAGAACGAAGTGCTGTTGTGTTCGCCAGTTCGCACAACCCGTTTGGCCAATGGTCTGGCTCAGGTGTCTTGGGCTCTTTCATCAACGTCTTTTGGTGTCTAGCCCGGCCTTCCCAGTCGAAGTTTTCTGCAGAAGATGGCGAACGTACGTGACGCATGGACATGTGCAGTTGGCAGAAGAGCAAACAGAATACCAGGCATGCAGAATATATATATATATATATTCTAAACCTTAGACCTTGACGAAACTCTTGTGGAAAAAGAATTGTATCGGCAACTTCACTTTTGAGGTTTGGGATCAACCAGACCCGAACTTTGAATGGCGAAAAACCAGCTCCCTACTATCTTGGTGATTACTCTTTCCTTTCTCTCCCATGGGAGGATAGGGACAGCTACTAGGTGGGAGGCCATCGCTACTAGGTTGGAGGCCATCGCTAGGGTGGAGGCCATGGAGGCCATTGCTACTAGTAACAAGAAGCTACTAGGTTTGACTTCTATAAAAGTCATGATTGGAGGCCATGATTGTCTTCGTTCTCTACGTCTTCAGCCTTCTCATCGTACAGGGCCTCACAGAATTCCTGGTGTCGGCATACCTGGCTTTGTTGTGGAGACAATGGAACAAGCGGACCCCAGTGATGAACAAGCTAAATGGTATCTACATGCGTGGCTGGGAGTACTTGCAGTGTTTGCCGGGTGTTTGCTTGTCCTTTTCCACAATTTTCCAGTGATGCTGGAAGAATTCCATGCTGCAGACTGACTGCATGGGAAGAACAGTGCCAGGTTCCGGAGGAGGCTTGGCAGCTTGGGAAGAGTTTGGGGGTGGCCCGGAAGGCACGGAGGACATTCTGTCTAAGATGAGGGTAAACCAACCATACCAAACTGCCAAAGCGAAGTAGACTATTGTGGTGGGTTGACCCTATTGATGTCCGTTCTGTTCACTTTCAGGATGTTTCACTGTCACCTACTAGATGTCAGGGTGCCATAACCTGTTGAACCTGCTAAAAACCTCCTCCAGTAGCAGCAGAAGAAGTAATAGCTTGAGTTTACCATGAAAGGGATAGCAACCTAGCAACCATCACCAACCAGCCATGTTCGACACTTACCTGTTGCTTTGAGGTATTGCCCAATTTCCAAGGCAAACCCGCTTGCTGCTTCATTTCAACAAGTGCGTGAAAGGATGGTCCCTCGACTGCTTCCACAGAAATGATTTCATTTTTTTGGGGAGACACCCAGCCAACATGTGTAATAGCTGAGCTTCCTATTCCCACAGTTGTGAGAGGGGAGCTCTTCTTGAGACAGACCCAATGTCAAGATTTATCCCACATGCCTCAGCAGCAGCTTCTGCTGGAAGTCTTGAGCAGGAACTACCGTCGGACTTTGATAAAGTCGAGGCCATGCGCTTCTTTGGTTCAGTTAGCTTGGAACCCAGACACCTGCAGTTTTGCCCGATGTCGTTGTCCGCTTGATCACCCCATCTGGACACACTTGCGAAGTGGACAGAGATCCACATCGGTGAAACGGTTCTTCACGCTGTTCACATCTTGTCCCAAAGAAGCACCGTGTTGCGCTGTGAAAGAAAGCACTCAAGAGGTGCTACCTGCTAGGAGACTCCTCCTTCGTCTCGATGTAGAGGATGATCGACTTTCGTCCTTTCTTCCGTCACCGGACACCATGAAACCCCACCGATGTCGCCCAAATTGGACGAATCAGACCCGTGCGATTGGTGGGCACGTCACGCTTGAATCCCCAATGAGGCCCATGATCCGTCGATATCCCGTCGCATTCCATCACCCTCTTCGCAACTTTTGAAGACCTCGCAGCCCGAGTCCTCACACTCAGGCAGTGCAGTCATCACGCTCTTCCAGGTGAGTTTGGTCGCGGGGTGGCAGCTTCGGAGAGATCTCTGCGTGTTTCCAAGGCTTAAGAGGTGCGTGCTCTTGCGCCACTCAGCAAACGGCATAGTCTATGGTTTGCTATTTCTGAATGAACAAAAAGAAAGATTTCTTTTTTGTTTATTTATTCATTTTTTCCCTACCTAGGAGGGGGGGACGCAGCATAGCGCTCGCTTCTTCAAGGGCGGCGGGGGAAGCTTCCTTGAAGAAGCGCTCGCACAAATGATTTGGTTCCTAGATTTTTACGGAAACTCAACGTATTAGGTTGGAGGCCATCGGTATTAGGTTGGGGGCCATCGCCATTAGGCTGGGGGCCATCGCTACCATATACTCTACATATCCACAAATATCGGAACACCATGGAATGCCGGCTCTTGCCGGGTGCCCAACAGGTCGCCCTGGCAGAAGCTGTAGGAACGTTTCGAGACAGTTTCCGGTCTCGCATGTTCCATGTGCTTCCTGCCTTGCACCGGAAAACCGTCGTTTCTTCGGGAAACATGGTCCCATTTTGGGGTTGGCTGGACACCAGGCAGGTGGTAAGTGGTTCCACCCAAACTCGCTCGGACCTCGTGCCAGGCCACTACTGCTGGAATCGATTGGGAAGATGCCTTCAAATTGCTACGGGTTCGGATCCCCAGAAATCCAGATCGGCGCTACTAGCAAGGTGCATTGCGACTCGAACGGAGCAAGGACGCTACGTTCGTAGCTCCTGGCATCGCTACTAGGAACAAGGGCATCGCTACTAGTAACAAGGGCATTACTACTAGGAGCAAGAAGCTACTAGTAGCTCCTGGCATCGCTACTAGGAACAAGAAGCTAGTATTACAGGGCATCCCCAAGCCATAGAGATCGCCGGGCACTTTCTTCGGGACATTTGCACCGCTCATCGACCCATCACCCAAAGATTCTGGAAGGCTCGCCAAACTGATCAGTTGCTGAACCAGAGTGATGGACACATAAATGAGTTTCACCGGGTAGACTTGCAAGAGCCTCTGAACTCCAACAACCGGTGACAAAAAGATAACCCGTGACCATTTTCACAACCTGCTTAGATGAAAAGGACTCTGATTCCTACCACACTGGATCTTCCACCATGAGAGGTTTCGAACCCCACAGCTGCGCTGCGCCCCCGGCGCTCCACACCCAGATCAGCGGTCCATTTCCATCGATTTGTTTTCTGACCTACGCGCGGCACCCAGAAACCTCACAGAGTTTGGTGTCTCAACATGTGTTCAATTTTAAACTAATTCTAACAGCTTCTTGTTACTACTAGTAAGGCACTTGTTACTAGTAGCGAGGCACTTGTTA